TGTAGTTCCCCCATGCCTGGTATATACATATCCTGAAAGTAATTTTGCCAACACAACTCTCAAAAAGCAAGGAACCTGTTTGGACAATTTCCAGTTTTGGAGAATGTTGGATTCCAGAATTCTGGGTAAGGGATGCTCAACCTGAAATGTCAAGAGAAGGGGCATTTTAGAATATCAACATTAAAGAGGCTATCGCAAAAGCCTTCAGCTAGGTAGGAAAAAAATATTTCCTGCAGACATCAAATTGTACACCTGCTCCCAGATTGTTGTCCTGTCCTTGTTGTTGTTAATGAGTGTCTTTAAATCATTTTTGACTCATGACAATTCTACAGTAGGGTTTTCTTGGCAGAGTTTATTCTAGAGCTGAGAGAGTGTGACTTGCCTAAGGTTGCCCATTTTGTTTCCATGGCCAAATGTGGATTCAGACTTTCATCTCTAGGGTTGGAGTCCAGAAAATTATGGAAAATATTGTGTATACAAGTTCTTTCAAGCTCTGTGTACAAAGTGTATACAAAACATCAATGGGGTTCTTTTTTAGACTTTTGTCCCACCTTTATTTATTTATTTATTTATTTATTTATTTATTACTGCGCTTGTATACCGCTGTTTCTCAGCCAAAATTGGCGACTCAACGCGGTTTACAACTCTACAAACAATCAACAATATTCAGTTTAAAAAGCATAAAAACAACATACAATACATAGTATTGGGCCACCAATACAATCCAATGCATCTCTTAACTAGAATCGTAGTCCAATTTCATCGTCCATGATTACCAGTCCTTAATCATCAATTTCTTTGCACCGGATTAACCGAATGCTTGTTTGAACATCCATGTCTTCAATCTTTTCCGAAACACCATCAGCGAGGGGGCTGATCTTACCTCTATGGGGAGGGCGTTCCAAAGCCGAGGGGCCACCACAGAAAAGGCCCTGTCTCTCGTTCCCGCCAGCCGCACCTGTGAAGCAGGCGGGATAGAGAGCAGGGCCTCCCCAGAAGATCTTAGGGTCCTGGTGGGCTGATAGGCCGAGATACGTTCGGATAGGTAAGTTGGGCCAGAACCGTTTAGGGCTTTAAAGGCCAACGCCAGCACTTTGAATTGAGCCCAGGTAGCAGATCGGCAGCCAGTGGAGCTGGTGCAGCAGAGGAGTTGTATGCTCCCTGCGCTCCGCTCCCGTTAGTATCATGGCTGCCGCCCGTTGGACTAATTGGAGCTTCCGAGCCGTCTTCAAGGGCATACCTTCAACATACCTCATTACGTCCATACAAGCAAGGACAGGTATTCCAAATTCTGAAGAACAACAACAACCCCAAACCCTGAAATCTGGTCCTAAGTATTTGGATAAAGGATCCTCCACCCGTAGTTCTAGGTTTATGCAATATATTGTTTTGTTTCACAGTTATGCTGCTTTATGGTCTGCCTTGATGTTGCTTTATGACGAGCCTCAAAGACGCAATTTCCAAGCCTTTCCAAGCAGCTAATCCTGTAGGTTACCTATCTTAAACAGGATATCATACAGCTGAGGAAAGGGTAGGGAAAAAAAGGCAGGAAAGGGAGGAGTTAGAACTTCTTCCCTGTGATTTGAAGAGGATCCCTGGAGGTCAGCTAGTCCAAACCTTCCTCAGTGCAGGGATTTGAAATTTCTGAGGTTTATCTTTTCTTTAAGAGTGTAACTCTGTTGCTTATGTTGGTAGATTGAGATAAATCACCTCCATTATCTCAGCTGCTTCAACCTCCCAAGTTCTGCTTGAAAGCAGGAAGTGGTAAAGATTCAGCTTTCACCAGAAAGCGGCACTTATCTTTATTTACACAATATATATACAAGACAATCATCAATCATGTTGGCTCTCATCTCGGCACACTGCAAGAAGCTCATTCCTTTCTTATCAGACCTTCTTCATCTGGTCAGCACAGGGAAACTAAAAGTGACACTCTACCAATACTACAGATCTCTGTTTTAACCCATGCATTATGGAAATCACACAATTTAAACTATAAGCAATTTTCATTCCATATAACATTACATACTGACAGCTTACACACCTGAAAGTAAGCCTAACAGAACACTTTGTGGCTTTGTTCCATGCAAACATGTATCGGATTAAATCCTTAATATTTGCACTCACGAGCAGGGGTGTATTCAGAATTGATTTTGTTACTAAAGATCTGTCAGAATACAGATTTGGAGGTAATACAGGGTATTTCCCTGATCCTAATCATAATACAGGTGTCATCTCCCTTGTCCTAAATACTGTGGACGAGAACTGTTTTGGGTTTCGGTTTTGGAAAACCCATTTCGGCATGTACATATATTGTATCTTGGAGATGGGATTCAAGTCTAAACACGAAATTCATCAATGTTTTTAAATATATGCCTTATACACATAGCCTGGAAGTCATTCGATCCAATATTATTATCATTAATAATGTTGTGCAAGAAGAAAAATAGATGTATATTGAAGCATTAGAAAGCAAATGTATTAACATCTTAACCACCCAAGTGGAAAATTTGGGAATATTTTGGTTTTCAGAATTTCGGATATAATGGACTATCCAAAAAGACAAACAATGGTGTCCAAGGGCAAGTCAAACCTGAGCACGGAAGTCATGGAATCATGGAAGTCATGAAATCTTAGAGTTGGAGGAGACCACAAGGACCATCCAGTTCAGCTCCTTGCAGGGAACCCCACAAAACAAATGCTGTGGATTCCCTTAACTTTAAATTCTTCTTGGGATGTGAGAAGGATTTTTCACATCTGGTGTAAACAGTGATAAAATAATGCATTTTTTTTCTCTCTTCCAGGGCCCGGTGACCTTCAAGGAAGTGGCTGTGAAGTTCTCGGAGGAGGAATGGGCTTTGCTGGATCTGCACCAGAGGGCTTTGTATTGGGAAGTCATGGTGGCAAATTATCATACTGTGTCCTCCCTGGGTAAGCATCATTTTGACCATAGGTTTAAAGGAGAAGATAGAGAAATAGCACGATCCCGTTCTACACTCACAACTCTGCTCTTTCTTCTGTGGGTTCATCTACACCAGGCATGGGCAAACTTGGTGTTTTAGACTTCCACAATTCCTAACAGCTGGAGGGCTGAAGTTTGCCCATGCCTGCACTATAGTCAGTATTTGTGGGCCTCTCTTGGTTCCCCAGCATGAGACTATGGTATGCTTCAAAAACAAGCATAGCATAGAATAGCACTGGAGGAACTGGGAAGACCCACAAACACTTCTATTTAAGGACCTCTCTAGGTCCACCAGTGAAAGTCCATGGGATAGTCCCAGTTTCAGGCATTCTCAGGGAGCATGGAAGAGGGATCGTACTGTAACCTTCTTCTCTTGCAACACATCAATAACCAGTTGTTGTTTTTCCTTTCACAGCAACCCTTCTGATCTCCAGACCTGACTTCATCTCCTGGGTTAAAGAAGAGGAAGAACCAAGAGTAGAGTGTGTGGAGGAAGGGGCAAGATTGGCAGGTAGTGTCCTAGAAGTTTTGTCTTAAATTCCTGGAAGGTTTGTAAGGGGAGACACATTTGAATAGGTAAGTTGGGTCAGAACTGGATTTAATTGTTACTCTTTGTTGAATCTAACAGGGAATTACCAAGTTGAGGAGAACAAAGATGGGAGCGGTCACCCAGAAAGATCTGAGCAGCTGGACAATGGCAGGGGAACATCATTGGAAAAGATTGAAGAGTATGATTCACGGGGTCTTAATGTTAGTGTGCATGACTGTTCTCAAGAGGGGGAAGGCCCATACAGATGTTCCAAGGAGCCAAGAGAGGTTTGCCGGCATCTCTGGGAGCGTGGCCTTCAGTGGCTGAAGCCAGGAGAGAACACAAAGGAGCAGATCCTGGAGCTGGTGATCCTGGAGAAATTCCTGGCTGTCCTCCCCTTGGAGATGAAGACCTGGGTCAGGGCACATGGCCCTGCAAACTGTGCCCAAGCAGTGTCCCTGGCAGAAACGTTCTTAGTCAGAGAGCAAAAGGACGGGAGGCAGAAAGCTGCGGTGAGTGGCGGGCATCCAACCACACTTGTGCATCCCTTTCTCGGAATGACAAAATCCAAAATTGTAAAAATGGGTGGCTGAGAGAGTGACTCCTTTGCTTGCTGAGCTTGGTTTTATGCACAAAATTATTACAAATATCGAACGCAATTGTTTTCAGGCTCTGTGTATGAAATGTAATGTTATGTTATTGGGATATCCAAATATGGCATCATTTCTGTTTCATATCCACCTTATATACATATATTACATGCATGTAATTTTAGACAATCCTTGTGTAACAGTTTTGCATGAAATCAAGTTTGCCCACACAACTATCAGAAAGCAAGTGATCTGTTCAGGCAATTTCCAGTTTTGGAAAATTTTGGATTCCAGAAATCTGGGTAAGGGATGCTCAACCTGCAATGCCAAGAGAAAGGAATAAAATGGCATTTTAGAAGAGGCTTCTAAACCCTTCAGCTAGGTACCAAAACATTTATTTCCTGCAGACAGAAAATAGGACAGTGGATCCCAGATAATGTTGTCCACTCCTTGTTGTTGTTAAGGTGTGTCTTTAAATATTTTCTGACTCATAACGAGTCTTCAGTGGGGTTTTCTAGATTTATTCTAGAGCTGAGAGAGTGTGACTTAACCTGAGGTCGCCATTTGTGTTTCCATGGCCAAGTGATGATTCAGACCCTCATCTCTAGTCTTGCAGTCCAGAAAATTATGGAAAAGATTGTGTATACAACTGCTTTTAGGCTGTGTGTACAAGGTGTATACAAAATTTGTTTAGACTTGGGTCTCATATTCAAGATACCTCACTAAATCTGCAATATTTTCACACATTACTCGGGGTTTCTTGTGAATAGATTTTGTTACTAAAGTTCTGTCAGAACATAGATTATACAGGTTAATCTCCTGACCCTAGTCTTGATACAGGTTGAATCTTCCTCATCCTCAACACTGTTGACCAGAACTGTTGGGGTTTCAGATTTTGGGATCCCTGTGTCGGCATACACAGATGCTGTCTCTTGGAGATAGAATCCAAGTCTAAACACAAAACTCATCAGTGTTTAATATTCACCTCAGACACATAGCCTGGAAGTCATTCAATTCTATATTATTAAAAATAATTTTGTGCAAGTAGCAAAAAATTGTGTATATTGAACCATTAGAAAGCAAACGTATCACATTTAGTATAAATAGTGATAAAATGATACATGCTTTTCTTTCTCTTCCAGGGCCGAGTGACCTTTGAGGAAGTGGCTGTCAAGTTCTCAGAAGAGGAATGGGCTTTGCTGGATCTGAGCCAGAGGGCTCTGTATTGGGAAGTCATGTTGGCAAATTACCATACTGTGTCCTCCCTGGGTAAGCATCATTTTGACCATAAGTTTAGAGGAGAAGATGGAGAGAGAACGAGCAGGATCCTGTTCTACACTCACAGCTCTGCTCTTTCTTCTCTGGCTGCATCTACACCAGGCATGGGCAAACTTGGGCTCTCCAGGTGTTTTGGACTTCAACTCCCACAATTCCTAACAGCCAGTAATAATAATATAATAAACTTTATTTATACCCTGCCACCATCTTCCCGAAGGGACTCAGGGCGGCTAACATGGGGCCAAGCCCAAACAAAATACAATGAAGCAAAAATACATATAAACAAGACAGTAACATCAAATAAATTAGTAATAACATAGTAAAGTAACAAAATCAAAATAAAAACAAATGGTAAAATGGTAATAGAATTCGGGGGCTTGGACGGGATAACAATGGAATAAAACTTCATCTGAGAGATAAGGTGAAGGTTTCTCACATCCACTTTTTGCTTGATATTCAAGCAGTGTTTCTTATAAGTCAGAGCACGGTCCAAATAGACAACATGCTAAAACAGCATTTCTCAACCTGGGGGTCGTGAGAGAATGTCAGAGGGGTTGCTGAAGACCATCTAAAAACACAGTATTTTCTGTTGGTCATCTGGGTTCTATGTGGAAAGTTAGGTCCAATTCTATTGCTGCTGAGGTTCAGATTTCTCTTTGATTGTAGGTGAACTATAAATTCCAGCAACTACAACTTCCAAATGTCAACGTCTATTTTCCCCAAACTCCACCAGTGTTCACATGTGTATTTGTTCCAAGTTTGGTCCAGATCCATCATTGTTTGAGTCCACAGTGCTCTCTGGATGTAGGTGAACTACAGTTCCAGAACTCAAGGTCAATGCCCACCAAACCTTTCCAGTATTTTCTGTTGGTCATGGAAGTTCTGTGTGCCAAGATTGATTCGGTTCCATCATTGGCGGAGTTCAGAATGCTTTTTGATTGTAGGTGAACTATAAATCCCAGCAACTACAACTCTCAACTGACAAAACCAATATCTCCCTCCCAAGCCCACCAGTATTCAAATTTGGGCATATTGGGTATTTGTGTCAAATTTGGTTCAGTGAATGAAAATACATCCTGCATATCAGATATTTACATTACAATTCATAACAGTAGCAAAATCACAGTTATGAAGTAACAATGAAAATAATGTTATGGCTGGAGGGGGGTCACCACAACATGAGGAACTATATTAAGGGGTCACGGCATTAGGAAGGTTGAGAACCATTGTGCTAGAATATCATCATATTTGTTAAGCACCAGTGAATACAGCTTTAATTCTTACTCTTTGTTGAATCTAACAGAGAATGACCAAGTTGAGGAGAACAAAGATGAGAGCGGTCAGCCAGAAATATCTGATCAGATGATCAATGGCAGGGGAACATCACTGGAAGAGAATGAAGCGAATGATTTGCAGGGTCTTAACATTAGTGTTCAAGACTGCTCTCAAGAGGGGGAAGACCCTGATGGATGTTTACTCAGTGATCAATCTCTCCTCTTTGAGCACAGAAAGTCCCACCCAAGAGAGAAGCGATTCAGCTGCTCTTTCTGTGAAAAAAGGTTCAGTAAGAAGGTATATTTAACAGCACATGAAAGAACTCACACAGGAGAGAAACCCTACAAATGCCTCGAGTGCGGCAAAAGTTTTGTGAGCCGCACATCCCTTTTCATCCATAGGAAAATCCACACGGGAGAGCGGCCCTTTCCGTGCCCTGAATGTGGCAAAAGGTTCAAAAATAAACAGGCCCTGAGTAAACACAAGGTCGTCCATACGGGAGAGAGGAAATATTTATGCACCGTGTGCGAGAAGAGGTTTTCCAATAAAGGCAACCTGATGACACACATGAAGATCCACACGGGGGAGAAGCCCTACAAATGCCTCGATTGCGGCAAAAGTTTCATAAGCCACGTGTACCTTATCGTCCATAGGAGAATCCACACGGGAGAGCGGCCCTTTCCGTGCCCTGAATGTGGCAAAAGGTTCATTAATAAACAGGCCCTGAGCAAACACGAGGTCGTCCATACGGGAGAGAGGAAATATATATGCGCTGTGTGCGACAAGAGGTTTGCGTATAAAGGCGACCTGGTGAGGCATCGAAGGATCCACACAGGGGAGAAACCACATTGCTGCCACATGTGCGGGAAAGGTTTTATTCAGAAAGCGTGCCTCGTTGAGCATGAGCTGAGCCATCACACAGATCATCCGTATGTCTGCTCGGAGTGCGGCAAAACGTTCAAACGGAGGAAAGGCTTCCTTTCGCACATGAAGACGCATAGGGGAGAGAGTGCGCCAGAATCCACAAAGAAGAGTGTAAACAATGAGGAGTCCGTTGTTGCAACCAGCAAAGAGAAATCCCATCCCTGCCTGACTTGCGATAAGAGCTTCCAATCGAGATACCACCTTATCCTTCACCAGAGGACCCACACTGGAGAGAAACCCTATCAGTGCTCTGAATGTGGGAGACGTTTCAGTCAACAGGCAGGGCTCTACATACACCAGAAGGTTCACACAGGCGAAAAGCCGTTTTTGTGTACCGAATGTGGAAAAAGCTTTCATAACAAAAGCAATTTAGCCCGGCACCAGCGAATCCACACGGGGGAGAAGCCGTTCATGTGCCAAGAGTGTGGGAAGAGCTTCAACCAGAAGGCTTCCTTGGTGGCGCATCAGACGACCCACAGCCAAGACAAGCGCTACTCGTGCCCAGATTGCGGGAAGACCTTCAAGCTGAAAGCATCCCTCCACATACACCAGAGAACTCACACGGGCGAGAAGCCCTATGAGTGCTCCCAGTGCAAGAAGCGATTCGTTCGACGTTCCAACCTGAGACAGCATGAAAAGACCCATGCAGGTGAGAGCCCCCTTGATGCATAAAGGAAAATGCGGGAATATACAGAGGGGAAATTCTTTCAACACTGTTGTGGATTACATAGTTGAACACGCTGCCACACGATGGCTGTCCTCATGGATAGATTTAGAAGTAGAAAGAGTAAACCCATAGAGCTTGCCAAACATTTCATTTTGGTCACATACTTTTTAGACTTGTATCATTTCACGACATAGTAACTCAGTTTTACTGTGCCAGCTCTAGCTTCCTATACGGGGACATGAGAGAAGACTCCCACAGGATGGTAACACATCTGGCATCCCCTGGGCAACGTCCTTGCAGATAACCATTTCTCTCACACCAGAAGCAACTTGTAGTTTCTCAAGTCATTCCTGACATGAAAATATTATTATTATTATTATTATTATTTTACTGACACAAAACCACAGTATGTCACAGCAAACAAGATCTCTATGCTGGATTATTATTATTATTATTATTATTATTATTATTATTATTTGAAACACAACAAGATGAGTCCACAGCAGACACTCTGCTGGCTGTTGTATTGGATCACACGTCAGACACTTCCCAAGTGTCTAGGACTGTGTGATGTATCGGTGAATAATGCGTGCAGATCCCAGTAAGGTGGCCTTCTGCAGCTGGCAGATGGTAATTTTGTCAGTGCCGATTGTGTTTAAGTGCAGGCCAAGGTCTTTAGGCACTGCACCCAGTGTGCTGATCACCACTGGGACCACCTTGACTGGCTTGTGCCAGAGTCTTTACAGTTCGATTTTTAAATCCTCATATCGAGTCAGCTTTTCCAGTTGTTTCTCTTCAATCCTGCTGTCACCTGGGATTGCCACATCGACAATCCATACTTTGTTTTTTAACATGGAGTCTTGTGTTCCAAAACTCTGTCAGTCTGAATTCAGAAGTCCCAGAGTAGTTGGATGTGTTCGTTTTTTGTAATTTTTTCAGTTCTTTGTCGCAGGCAGGTGGTATTTGTGACACAAGTTCCAATGAATCATCTGAGCAATGGTGTTGTGCCTCTGCTTGTAGTCTGTCTGTGCGATCTTCTTGCAGCAGCTGAGGATGTGATCTATTGTTTCATCTGCTTCCTTGGAGATTATTATTATTATCATCATCATTTTGTGACACAGTAATTCAGATTTACTTGCAAACTGGAGGTTAACCCAGCTGCTTACAAGATATATGGATACATACATAAACTGTAATAATGTAGTGTCTTGAGGCACAACAAAATCTCATTAAATCCTTTCATTTCTATTTTAAAAAATATATGATTTGAGTCCCCAGTGGCACAGTAGTTAAACCTCTGAGCTACTGAACTTGCTAACCGAAAGGTTGCAGGTTCGAATCCGGGGAGCAGTGTGAGCTCCCGTTGTTAGCCCCAGCTTCTGCCAAACTAGCAGTTCAAAAACATGCAAATGTGAGTAGATCTATAGGTACCACTCAGGTGGGAAGGTAACGGTGCTCCATGCATGCCAGCCACATGACCTTGGAGGTGTCTACGGACAACGCCGGCTCTTTGGCTTAGAAATAGAGATGAGCACCAACCTCCAGAGACAGACATGACTGGACTTAATGTCAGGGGAGAAGCTTTATCTTTACCTAAGATAATTTCATACATTTCTAAGATTTTTATAATTTTTAGTTACATTCACACGACACACTTCCATATTGCATTTGATACATTAATGTGTCTTAACATACAGTTTGGAAAGCTCTGTTGTAGAGAGCGGGGCCATCAACAATTACTATGTCTTGTCGAAGGCTTTCATGGCTGGAATCACTGGGTTGTTGTAGGTTTTTTCGGGCTATGGCCGTGGTCTAGAGGCATTCTCTCCTGACGTTTCGCCTGCATCTATGGCAAGCATCCTCAGAGGTAGTGAGGTCTGTTGGAACTAGGAAAATGGATTTATATATCTGTGGAAAGACCAGGGTGAGACAAAGGACTCTTGTCTGCTGGAGCTAGGTGTGAATGTTTCAACTGACCACCCATTGTATGCTAATCAAGGTGGATGCAGGTGAAACGTCAGGAGAGAATGCCTCTAGACCATGGCCATACAGCCCGAAAAAACCTACAACCCAGAGATTACTATGTCTTTGGCCTTCTCTGCTGAAGAGTTCTGGTGCTCCACCAAATTACAAATCCCAGCACTATATGAATCTGTGCTACCTATCGCAGAGCAGAGTATAGTATATGTATGAACTTATGGTTGGAAACAGGAGAGAAAATGTGCAGTATACTCTAGTTAGGATTTTAAAAAGGTAAGAACTTCCTTTTATTATTGCCATTTGCAGTTTATATAAAATATATATACACAAAAGAAAGACACAACGTTGGTCGAAGAGTCCCTAATGCTGACTTGTGTGTGTGCGAAAGGCATCTTAAGGAAGAGATGTTCCCTTTACAAACAAAGCCAAACAAAGCACACTAAAGACTTCTGGGAAAAGGAAGACATGAAGCAAAACACCTTGAGTCACATAGATCTAGGAAACAGACCATCAAAAATTGCTTCAGAAAGGGGTAACAATCTGCAGGCATTTGTTTATGAATTCCCATCAGATATTTTGTGCTTCTCCCCAGGTGTTTCTTCTTCGGACACAACCCAAATAATTTTGACTAATTCTACTTCTGAGCTGGCCATGGAAACGAAAGAATCTACGGAGATGTGTGTGGAAACATTTAACGCTACTGTGGTAAGGAAGAGGCATGCTCCTTTCTTGCTTCCTAAGGGACTTTTTAGATGGCACAGAAAGCAAATGTAGTCATGTTCCCCGTTAAGCAACATCTAAATACCCACCACAGGACAATCCTTTTGTTACAAGGAAACTTGTGCCACAGGTTTGTGGTGTGGTATGCCCTCATATCATACTAAAAAATCTCCCATTTTTTGTGCAAAGTCATGGAACGTGTGTGGCCTAGCAACTCCAGGTCTTCTTGGAGGAAACTGATTATCTGGATCCGGCGCAGTTTGGCTTTAGGCCGGGTCATGGAACTGAAACAGCCTTGGTCACCTTAGTAGATGATCTACTCCAGGAAATGGACAGGAGAAGTACTTACTTACTGACTGACTGACTTACGCGATCCCTCGTAGTCCGAGGATGATAGTCCTCCCAGTTCAGTGTGCTGGCGGTGGGTCCATAGGTGACTGTGGTGCCCTATTCTTGATCTGCATCTTCTCCCACAGTGAGGACATTCGTTTCCAGGTGGAAGGCGGTCCCAGTCGGGGTTGACTTGACGTGCCTTCCTCTTGGCACATTTTTCTCATTCGCCCTCCATTCGTGCCTCTTCAAATTCTACAGGACTGCTGGTCACAGCACACCTCCAACTGGAGTGCTCAAGGGCCAGGGCTCCCCAGTTCTCAGTGTGTATTCCAGAGTTTTTAAGGTTGGCTTTGAGCTCATCTTTAAATCTCTTTTCCTGTCCTCCAACATTCCGTTTTCCATTCTTGAGTTCGGCCATATTGTCCGGATGCTTTGGGAGACGGTGGTCGGGCATCCGGACAACGTGGCCGGTCTTGCGGAGTTGATGGCGGAGGACCATCACTTCAGTGCTGGTGGTCTTTGCTTCTTCCAGCACGCTGACATTTGTCTGCTTGTCTTCCCAAGAGATTTGCAGGATTTTTCAGAGGCAACGGCGATGGAATTGCATGAGACGTCTGTAGACTGTTCCCATTTTGCAGGCATATAGCAGGGTTGGGAGGACAATAGGTTTATAAACAAGCACCTTGATAACCCTACGGATGTCCCGGTCCTCAAACACTCTCTGCTTCATTTGGAAAAATGCTGCACTCACAGGCGGTGTTGTATTTCAGTGTCAATGTTGACTTTTGTGGAGAGGTGGCTGCCAAGGGGTGTGTGTGTGTGTGTGTGTGTGTGTGTGTGTGTATATATATATATCATAAAATACACATTTTCTCCTAGATGTAATCAGATGTGATTGCGCAACAAGAGCAATGCCGATTGGCCTGGGTGAACTAAAGTTTAAATATTCTGAAACATTTTATTATTTTCCTCTGCATTTTATTTTCTTTTTTTTCTTTTTTTCTTTTTTTTTTTTTTTTTTTTTTTTTTTTGTTTTTTTTTTCTGTCGCCTTAGTGGATGATCTAAGCCGGGAGCTTGACTGGGGGAGTGCGCCCCTCTTGGTTCTCCTGGACCTCTCAGCAGCCTTCACTATTGTAGACCATAGTATCCTTCTGGGATGACTCACAGGAATGGGGCTTGGGGACACTGTTTTGCAGTGCCTCCGGTTCTTCCTGGAGAGCCACTTTCAGGTGTTGTTAAGAGATACTTTCTCAGCCCTAAAGCCTTTGTCCTCTGGGGTCCCACAGGGTTCAGTACTGTCCCCCATGTTGCTTAACATCTACATGAAGCTGCTGGAAAAGATCATCTAGAGTTTTGGAGTTGATGCCATCTGTATACAGATGATGTTGAACTCTATTACTCCTTTCCACCTGTTACTAAGGAGGATGTTCAGGTCCTGAACCGGTGCTTGGCAGCTGCGATGGTCTAGATGAGGGTGAACAAATTGAAATTGAATCCAGACAAGACAGAGGTCCTCCTGGTCAGTTGAAAAGCCAAACAGGGTATAAGGTTACATCCTGTGATGGATGGGGTTACACTTCCTCTGAAGATGTAGGTTTGCAGCTTGGGAGTCCTCCTGGACTCATAGCTGAGCCTGGAACCCCAGGTCACAGCGATGGCCAGGGGAGCTTTTGCACAATTAAAACTTGTGTGCCTGTTGTGCCTGTACCTTGAGAAGTCAGACTTGGCCACAGTGGTGCACACTGTTGTTACTTCGAGAATAGATTACTGCAACATGCTCTATGTGGGGTTGCCTTTGAAGACTGTTTGGAAGTGTCAAATGGCCCAGCGGGCGGCTGCCAGGTTGCTTACTGGAGTGGCGTATAGGGAATACACAACTCCCCTGTTGTGTCCACTCCACTGGTTACCAGTCTGCTACCGAGCACAATTCAAAATGCTGGCTTTAGCCTATAAAGCCCTAAATAGTTTTGGCCCAGCTTACCTGTCCAAATGTATCTCCCCCTATGAACCACCTCAGAGATTAAGATAATCTGGGGAGGCCCTGCTCTCAGTCCCACCCCCCTTGCAAGCACAACTGGTGTGGATGAGAGAGGGCCTTCTCAGTGGTGGCCCCTCTATTATGGAACTCCGTCCACAGTGAAGTTAGATTGGCCCCCTCCCTCTTGGCCTTCAGGAAAAAACTAAAAAAATGGCTCTGGAATCGGTAATGGGATCAGTGCAATAAGAGACTATAAATTAACATTGACAACTCGGACTGGCCCTGGATTATGACCTGTATTATATGATTTAAATTGTTGTTTTAATATGATGTTTTAACTGGTTGGTTTTAATGTTTTTGTTTATTTATCGATGATTTGTGTACACACAGCATCAAATTCTTGCCTTTGTAAGGCCACCCTGAGTCTCCTTTGGGATTGAGAAGGGCAGGATATGATTGCGGTAAATAAATCATAAATACATTGTCTTGCCAGGTGAATGTGGATGGTGTGTTGTTCCTTCTGCAAACTTCTGCATAAATCTGGATCATCTTCATTGGGAACCAAGATTCGGTAAGATAGGAAACTCTTTCTGGTTCAGAACTCAATTACATTGGTTGGAAAAGAAACTGAAATTTTATTACCAAAGGATAAATCAAGGCAGGAACACTCTACGTTTTGGGTCATCAATGCTATGATGTTTTAAAAATCCTATCAGGTTTTGCTGCAGAGAATTTAATGGAATGTTTCCGTTGTTTTCCTGTATGTTTTCCGGGCTGTATGGCCATGTTCCAGAAGCATTCTCTCCTGACGTTTCGCCCACATCTATGGCAGGCATCCCCAGAGGTTGTGAGGTCTATTGGAAACTTGGAAAATGGGGTTTATATATCTGTGGAATGTCCAGGGTGGGAAAAGAACTCTTGTCTGTTGGAGACAAATGTCCATACTGCAATTGGCCACCTCGATTAGCTTTGAATGGTCTTGCAGCTTCAAAGCCTGACTTGTAGCCTCTGGAGAGATCCTTTGTTGGGAGGTGATTAGCTGGCCCTGATTGTTTCTTGTCTGTTTCTTGTTTAAATCCCACTTGTCTAGTTTCCAACAGACCTCACAACTTCTGAGGATGCCTGTCATAGATGTGGCAAAACATCAGGAGAGAATGCTTCTGGAACATGGCTATACAGCCCGGAAAACTCACAACAACCTAGTGATTCCATGAAAGCCTTCAACAATAAAATGAACCATAAGTTCTTTTAAACTGTATTACACTAAGTAGAACTAAGTCATATAAATAGCGAGATGGAACAGTTATCACCTTAAAGTACAGCTGGCCCTCCATGTTTGCAGTTTTGTGGGTTTGATTGTTTGCAGATTTGATTAAAATGTTTTCTCTAGGAATCTCTATGTGCTTCATAACATTTGTGTGCTGCAGTGTGGCTTTATGGTCAGCTTTCAGTCTGATTCTTCTGGCCATAGAGTTGTGCTGGAGGACCTCGACATTTCTCTAGTGATGTTCTTAAGGCATATACTAGCCATCCCCTGCCACGCGTTGCTGTGGCCCAGTCTGTGTATATGTGTTTTGTGTGTGTATATGTGTGTATATATTTGTTTATATGTGTGTTTGTGTGTGTGTGTGTATATATATATGTTGTTTGTCACATGCATTGTAATGTAATTTTTGTTTTTTGGCTTTTTAAGTCTCTTCTGCTGTGTTTTTCAGTGTTTTTATGAGTGATGGTCATTCATTAGCCTGATAGTGTATTGTGTCCAAATTTGGTGTCAAGTTGTCCAGTGGTTTTTGAGTTATGTTAATCCCACAAATGAACATACACACACACACACACACATATATAAATATAATTTATTCACATTTTTTTGTATTCACTGAGGTCCTGTACCCCAAACTCCCAGCAAATGTAATGTACATCTCGCTTTGCTCCCAATATTTGTTGTGATTGCACAGCCCAACAACAACAAAACTGAGTTTTTAGGCCTATTCCTGGGTTTATTTGAGATGCTGAATCAGACTGCACTGCAGCTGGAAGCTTTCCTTTATTTGAACAGGAACTTCAGCCATCCATGTTCCATAGACACCTTATAGCCTGAAGACAGTCTTATACACACTATTTTAAAAATTTGTATACGTTGAAACATGAGAGATCCAAGGGGGTCAAATTTAGACAATTTGGGATTTTGAAAAAGAACAAAATTGTAGAGTTGGAAGAGACCTCGTGGGCCATCCAGTCCAACCCCATTTTGCCAAGAAGCAGGAAAATCACATTCAAAGCACCCCCCAGATGGCCATCCAGCCTCTGTTTAAAAGCCTCCAAAGAAGGCGCCTCCACCACACTCCGAGGCAGAGTTCCACTGCTGAACAGCTCTCACAGTCAGGAAGTTCTTCCTCATGTTCAGGTGGAATCTCCTTTCCTGTAGTTTGAAGCCATTGCGTCCTAGTCTTCAGGGCAGCAGAAAACAAGCCTGCACCCTCCTCCCTATGACTTCCCCTCTCATCTTGATCCTGGCTCTTATCATGTCTCCTCTCAGCTTTCTCTTCTTCAGGCTAAACATGTCCAGCTCTTTAAGCCGCTCCTCATAGGGCTTGTTCTCCAGACCCTTGATCCTTTGAGTCACCCTCCTTTGGACACATTCTATCTTGTCAACATCTCCCTAGAAGGGAAGCTGTAGATTTTTTAAAAAGTGACTTTTCCGTCCTTTGGAGCAAGTAAATTAAAAATGAAAATAAATATGTATTTCTTTGCAGGTTCAACGATTAAGATGGTCGGTCTGCCTGGAAATGGAGGTTTTCCGAATATTCCTCTGTGCTTATTTTCTGTAACATATTTTTTGTTATACCAGTCTACAGCAAAATGTATTGAGAGCTGTTTATGATTAAATCTTTCTTTTAAAAAGAAGCAATAACATAATATTAAAGGTATAAAAGGGGGAAGGGAGGCAGAGAATATAAGATATATATATTTATATATTTCTCAAAATGTGTCTGTGATTTCCTAACCAGATGCTCTCCAGAACAAGAACTTGGAAAGGGGTGTGTGTGTGTGTGGGTTTGAATTCCACCTTTCAGCCATTGCAAGTTGAAGAATTTCGAGGTTTCCGGCCAGAAATGCAGACCCCGAACTTAAGAAGACTGAGAAAGGCCAAGATAGACAAAGAGAAGAAAGGATGGAGATGAAATCAATCCCTCCCCTTTAAAACATAATTGCTAGAATGAAATAATTTATGGTATATAGACTAATAGAGGAAAGGATGGAGGTGAAATGACTCCTAGAATGGTTTGCATGAAATCTTTTGTGTCTCTCTGGATGTGTTTCCATTGCAGAATTAATGTGATTTGATACTACTTTGGCTGCCATGGACCAGTGCAAGGGAATCATGGGAGTTGTAGTTTTACCAGGTCTCCTTTTAGTCTCCTTTGCCAAAGAGTGAGTGCTAGTGCCTCACCAAACTACAACTCCCAGGATGCCATCGCATTGAGCCAAGGCGATTCAAACTGTATTCATTCTACAGTGGAATTGCACCCCTTGCATGGACCTTGAGAACTCTTCATCCAGCAGGACGGATACTCTCTGATGCTCACACAGACACTTGCCTCCTGAATCTTGAGAGCCCAAAGGATGCGCACTGAATCTCTCCAAGGTGTCCATGTGTCCATGCTTGTACTATCTATGTGTCCGCTGCAGTTTATATTGCAGGAGCATTGCCTTGCTTGTGTATCCCACCATGATAGTCCTCATGCGAAACCGATTAATCCATGGAGATGAAGCCGATCTCCACCCACCCAGTTTTCTTTCTTGTTGGTTTCCATCCAGTTTGCACATGCTGTAGAATCAATGCACTCTGATGTCGTGGCTCCAAGCCATGGGATCCTGGGAGTTGTAGTTTGGTGAGGCACCAGTACTCACTCTTTGGCAGATACTACGATTAACAGGATTCCATAACATTGAACCATGACAAAGCACAATAATTCTGCAGTGTGGATGCACCCATATTCATACATAATCTAAAGCATTTCTTGCTCTCGTTTGATTGAGTTTTCTTTTTACTTGATTTGTGGGTTGTTGCTCTGAATGCTGCTCTGAATGCTTCTAATTATTTTTGTATAAAGGCCAGAAATTATTTTGGATTGCAACCTCTTCGACTAAATAAACTGATGTCTGCACTCTGGCTGCTAGTTTTGTATTCTGTGACGACATTCCTCGACTTGCCATTTGTGTCTTTCCCAGACTGTTTTCAGTGGGCAGTGGGTGACTTCCATAACAGGGAAGGGAATGCCGTTCTAGGCTGCGTTGACAGGAGTCTCATTTCTTGTTTGAGAGACGTCAGAGTCCCACTCCATTCTGCTTTGGTCAGACCTCGCCTGGAATAACACTGCATCCAGTTCTGGGCAAAGCAATTCAAGAATATTGACAAACCAAAAAGCAAGCTGGGAAATTGGTCACATTGATATTGTTAAGTGAGTACAGAGAAAAAGAGTCACCCTTTCGATGCTGAGGGACATTTTCTTCTCCCAACCCAAATCCCTCCCTGCCTTCTTGCATTGTTGTGGGTCTGTCCTTGCCTTCAGGTTGTTCCCAACATATGGTGACCCTAATAATAATAATAACAACACCCTTGCTCAGAAGATCCATTGGAACTTGTGCCACAAACACCATCTGCCTGCCGCAAAGAACTGGTGAGATCACAAGCTGGAAAAAGTACAGAAAATGAACAGGTCAAACTCCTCTGGGACTTCCGGATTCAGACAGAGTTTTGGAGCACAATACTCCTGACCACACAATCATGATTAAAAAACAAAGTATGGATTGTTGATGTTGCAATCCCAGGTGACTACAGAGCTGATTATCATGATTGTGAGGTCAGGAGTATTGTGCTCCAAAACTCTGTCTGGATTGAAGAGAAGCAACAGGAAAAGCTGACACGATACGAGGATTTAAAGATCGAACTGCAAAGACTCTGGCACAAGCCAGTTAAGGTGGTCCCTGTGGTGATTGGCACACTGGATGCAGTGCCTAAAGACCTTGTTGTTCATTCGTTCAGTCGTTTCCGACTCTTCGTGACCTCATGGACCAGCCCACGCCAGAGCTCCCTGTCAGCCTGCACCATCCCCAGCTCCTTCAAGGCCAATCCAGTCACTTCAAGGATGCCATCTGTCCATCTTGCCCTTGGTCAGCCCCTCTTCCTTTTTCCTTCCATTTCCTTCCATATATATAGGATTTCCCATCTTCGGCATCTTGGAGGCTGTGCCCGGTTCTGCCGGTTGGGTTTTTATTCCACTTTCCCTGCCAAAGAGCTTTGTTCATAAACTTCCATTTTGACTGAGTCGCCATGATTTTTTCTGGCATTTCCTTATGGGTGCCTTAAATAGCTCCCCGCTTTAAATTGGTACCTATTCATCTACTCGCATTTGTTTTCGAACTGCTAGGTAGTCAGAAGCTTGGCTAAAGGCCAGGAGGCCACCCCAACCCAGGCTTCGAAGTGTCAACCTTCCAATTGATTTACTGCAGCTGGCGGTTAACCTGCTGTGCTAATGTCCGGCCCTATTTGAAAGGATGTCACATTTCTTCTTGGTGGGGGAATGGCCCGCAGGGTCTCTTTCAACTCAATGACTCTATGAGGGCAGCCTGATTTCTGCTGCTCTGGAGACTGGGACACAGACCAATGGAACCAGATTGGAGGAAAAAATATTCCACTTAAACATTAAAAAGAACAGCAGTGGAATATTTTTTATTTATTTATTTGCAATATTTCTACCCTGCCTTTCTTGAACCCGAAGGTGACTCAAGGCGGCTTTACAACATAGGCAGCTATTCGATGCCATTAAAACGATGTAAAAATTACAATAAACATTTAAAACAGAATTATATAATACATACATTAAAACCTTTAAAAACATATAAAACCACTATCTTCACTATTAGCCTTGTCAGCCAAAAATATAATCTAAGCTGTTCCAGTATTCAATTTCACATAGTTCGGTGTTTATTGCACTAGATTCCCAAAGGCTTGTTCAAAAAGCCATGTTTTCACTATTCTGCTTGCTTGGGAATCTGATGGAGGTGCCTTCTCTTGAGATTTTAAAGAAGGGCTGCATGGCCATCTGTTGGAGGTGCTTTGATTGTTTTCCTGAATGTCACAAGAAATTTAATATGCTGATTTGATAAATGTCGATTTGATATATTGTATGAATGGAATTGTATGGAAGGTGTATGGATGGAGTTAATAATTTTGGAGACACCATACTAAAATATTAAGGTCTGCAATAACTAAACCTGCTTGAAGAACTGTAATTAAAAGTTGCTAATGAGAACTGAAAAGTAAACTGTGATAAGATTCCATCTGAACATGAGGAAGAACTTCCTGACTGGAACTCTCTGCCCCGGAGTGTGGTGGAGGCTCCTTCTTTGGAAGCTTTTAAACGGGGGCTGGATGGCCATCTGTCAGGGGCGATTTGAATGCAATATTCCTGCTTCTTGGCAGAATGGGGTTGGACTGGATGGCCCATGAGGTCTCTTCCAACTCTTTGATTCTATAGGAACTGTGACAGTGATAAGAGAAATGTTTACATCTGTCAACATTTGCTGACTTGATGGACGTTTGGGGGAAAACACATGTTTACAATAACCAGAGACAATGGTTCTTTTAACTTAAGGAAATGTTTACAACATTCCTTATGTTAAGTAGGAATCAACACAAAGGTCATTCCACAGATATATAAACTCTTTTTCCTAGTTCCAACAGACCTCACTACCTCTGCGGATGCTTGCCATAGATGCAGGCGAAATGTCAGGAGAGAATGCCTCTGGAACATGGCCATATAGCCCGAAAAAACCTGCAACAACCCAGTGATTCCGGCCCTGAAAGCCTTTGACAATACAACAAAAATTATATCACAATACATACAGAAGCAAAATAAAATGAACAAAGCAAAATAATATTAAATCAAAAGGATTGTCTGCACATTGCACTTACCTCCAAAAAACCTCTAAATACCTCCTGTCAAGTTCAGCACTTTCTGTCCATTAAATTTGGCCTGGCCTTTAGGTTTTAAATGCATCATAATGTCATTGTTTTAGTGTTTTATTGTTTTGCTTGATGTTTTATTATTTGCTTATGAGTTTTACTATGATATTTGTATGTTGTTGTTGTTGGCGGCCTTGGCCTTTGTAAGCCGCATCGAGTCCTTCGGGAGATTTTGCAGGGTATAAATAAAGTTAATACTGGTATAACCAAAATATGATACAGTGTCATGACTCAGCTAGAACCACAGACTGATAGTGTTGTGACTCAGATGGGGTCTCAGAGTGACTCTGACAAGGATGATGGGATTCAGGTTCACAATCAGGTTCAAGATGTTCCTGTTGTAGACAATGAGGAACAGGGTGTGCAAGTTCAGTTTCCCACAGCAGGGGATGATGTTTTTGATACTGAAACTAGCCAGGTGCAAATTGACTCAGAAAAGGAGGACAGTTCTCAGCCTGATAGTAGGCAGGAAGGCAACCAGACTGACACTAAAGAGCAGCCTGACCTTGATGAAACGGGAATCTTAGATTGGGCTGACCGTTTGGAATTCAGAGTTCAAAGGAGTGTGAGAATAGCCAACAAGAAGGAGGTCAGAAGCCAAAGAAATGCTTTCATGTATTGCAAAGGGTATTAAGCAGTGTGTTTGAAAACAAATCTTTGTCAGAGCAATTTTTCGCTCAAACAAGCAGCTTGTGCTCATTTGCCTGGATTATCTTGTAGTTCTTGTGTCCATGGTCTAGGGACTTTGTCATGTTCTCATGAGATATTGTTTTGTTGGTGTCTCTTGGAATCCTGCTTTACAGTGCTATGCCTTATTGATCTTTTGCCTTCTCAGATTAGGAATCTCCAATACCAAGTATTAGAAGCACACCGCACACTGCACTTAATCCTACATACCTCCTGCCACATCAGCACTTTTAATCTTGTACCCATTACTCTGGTCCGGCCCAGTTTTATAGTGTCTCGATGTATTGTTTACTGTTTGTTGTTTATACTGCTTAACTGTTTTAATTTGCTTTAGGTATTGTATTGTTGTATTGTGTTTTGAGGCCTTGGCCTATGTAAGCCGCATCGAGACCTTCGGGAGATGCTAGCGGGGTACAAATAAAATAATAATAATAATAATAATAATAATAATAATAATAATAATAATAATAATAATAATAATATCTTTTGGAACATTACTTGCTTTTAAGAACTTTTATCTTTTATTTTTCAATAAACTACAAAGATTTCAGTCTGTGTGCAGTTTTGGTAATTTCAGCAAGGTGAATCTACTCTGAGGTGCAACATACAGAAAATAAGCCAAGAGGAATATTCTGAAAACCTCCCTTTCCACGCGGACAGACCATCTTGATCGTGGAACCTGCAAAGAAATAAAGATTTGTTTTCATTTCCGTTAAATAAGAACCACACTTTAAATAAACATGTTACAAATATCATCACATGTAAATACAAGGAAAACATGACATTAAATTCTCTGCAGCAAAAAAACAAAACAAAACAAAAATAATGACATTTTTGAAACATCATAAAAGCAGTTGCGATTATTTCGCATTGATATCCAGCTGGATTCATCCATGGGTAATAAGTGTAATAATGGGTAATAAGAGGGAGAAAATGTGGAGGCCATGACAGAATTTGAATTTCTAGGTGCAAAGATTATTGCAGGCGCAGACTACAGGCAGGAAATCAGGAGACGTTTCCTTCTTAGAAGGAGAGCAAGAACCAATCTCGACAAAATAGTGAAGAGTAGAGACATCACACTGGCAACGAAGATCCGCATACTTAAAGCAATGGTATTCCCCATAGTCACCTACGGATGTGAGAGCTGGAGCATAAGGAAGGCTGAGCAAAAGAAGAGAGGTGCTTTTGAACTGTGGTGCTGGAGGAAAATTCTGAGAGTGCCTTGGACCACCAGAAGATCCAACCAGTCCATACTTCAGGAAATAAAGCCTGACTGCTCATTGGAGGGAAGGAGAGTAGAAAGATGAAGTACTTTGGCCACATCATGAGAAGACAGGAAAGCTTAGAGAAGACAACGATGCTGGGGAAAATGGAAGGAAAAAGGAAGAGGGGCCAACCAAGGGCAAGATGGATGGATGGTATCCTTGAAGTGATTGACTTGACCTTGAATGAGCTGAGGGTGGCCACAGCCGACAGGGAGCTCTGGTGTGAGCTGGTCCATGAGGTCACAAAGAGTCGGAAGCGACTGAGCAAATAGACACCAACAAAATAAGTGTTCAGTTTCTTTTCTAACCGATATAACTGAGTTCTGCACAAAAAACCCAAATCTCTTTTTAAGGCTGCATCTACCATATAGATTTAATGCCATCTGGCACTACTTTAATTGTCATGGCTCAATTCTATGGATTTGGCGAGGCCCTAACACACGTTGGCAGAGCTCTTTGGCCAAAAATATGTCACAAAATTGCAAATTCCAGAATTTCCTTGCACTGTGCCATAGCAGTTTATGTGGTGTAAAAGTGTCCGGATCTGTAGCTTTCTGGCGAAGAAATTACCTCACAAACAGAGAAGACTTTATTTTCCAAAAGCATACATTAGGGCACGAAACAAAATTCCAACTGACAGTTTATTTCTCTCACACCTCCTATCTCTCACCCTGGCTCCCCCCTTTCATTGCTCCCATTTTCATGGAAAACCTCTCCTTTGTTTCAAATATACACAGGCCAGGTTTAAGGCACGGTCTAATTTCCTGGCTTCACACAAAACCAGGAGATAAGGTCATGACACAAAGTGATATAATTCTGCAGTGTGGATTCAGCCTTCGACAGTCACTTTCAGCTCTGGCTCCATTAACGTATATGTAAAGCAAAGCCTCTTTTCCTCCAATCTGTATGACAGAACACTTGCTTATACTGATAGGTAGTCTCCGTTCCAATGCCTATTCGCTCTGTTTGGAGATCCTTTTGTAACTCTTCTCACCTCTTTTTTATTTTGAACTATTCCAAATAACCCAATGTTGTCAGAAAATCTAAGTGACTTGAGGTTCTCCCCAACTCCAAATTCACATATGAACAAGTTAGAAACTAATTTGAAAACATTTGATTGTGTCCATTGCTTGCATAAAGGAAAGCTCTCAAGGTGTGGGAGAAAGCTACAGCTAACACCTTCCTACCTTACCGAAGCTGGGTTCCCAATGAGGATGATCCAGATTTATGCAGAATTTTGCACAAGCAACAACACACCATTCACATTCACCTAGCAAGACAAGAATTGGAATAAGGTATTTGAAGTTGTTCAACCATAAATGGAAAATTGTTAAGAAAAGAAATTGTATGAAGTAAACAATGGAAAGCATACATTGTGCAGAACAGGTACGAGAACAGGCACTTCTCCTAGATTTGGAATGATCTGAAAGAAAACACGTGTAACTGGATTAACTGAAAATTACATTTATAGAAGCCACTGGAGGCACATTAAGATGAAGAAGCCTTAATCTGTATTGCTTACAACTATGTAAGTTGCTTGCACTGTTTGTTTTGTTTACAACACTGCAAGTTTATGTTTTGACTCTGCTGATAAGAGTAAAGTTTTTTTCTGTTCATTTTTCCTCTTGCCTGTGTGCAATGTTATTGTGTCTTCTGCACTGGACCTAACTGAAACCCGCTTGAGCGCAACAAAAACTATCATCTCTCAGCTGCAAAAGGCCACCCTGCTCGGATCTGTACACATCATTCGGTGATACATCACACAGTCCTAGACACTCCTAGACACTTAGGAAGTGTCCGATGCGTGATCAAATACAAAAGCTAGTATAGTGATCATGTTTGCTGTGTATTAATCTTGTTATGTATAATAATAATAATAATAATAATAATAATAATAATAATAATAATAATAATAATGCTTTATTTATACCCCACCCACCAACTCCCACATAGGGACTCGGGCCAGCTTACAAATAGCACACAAAGATGCCATACATAAAATACATAATACATTAAATAAAATACATCAACATGAAAACAATAATAGATCCTTCAAAGATCTCGAAGTTTTCTTATTGTGTAACATATGGGGTCATACCATACCACAAACATGTGGCACAAGTTTTCTTGTAACGAAAGTATTGTCCTATGATGGGTATTTAGATTTCTTAAAAGAGAACATGACTACATTTGTTTTCTGTGCAATCTAAAAAGCCTCTTAGAAAGCAATTACAGCGCATGCATCTTCCTTACCACAGTAGTGTTAAACGTTTCCACACAGCTCTCCGCAGATTCTGGCGTTTCCATGGCCAGCTCGGAAACAGGCAGAAGTATCTGGGTTGTGTCTGAAGACAAGACACCTGGGGAAAAGCACAAAATATCTGATAGGGATTCATAAACAAATACCTGTTCCCTGGATCTATATGACTCAAGGTGTTTTGCTTTCTGCTTGGAGTCATGTCCTCCTTTTCCCCAGAAGTCTTTATCTATAGAGGATTTGCCAAGACTTGCATAGATGTGAGGGGAAAATTCATATATAAAAATAATGTATACATATAGATACAGATATCCAGCTACACGGGAATCTCTAGATATCTATATGTATATAGGATCTGCAAAGACCTGCAAACATATGAGGGGAAAATTCATATATAAAATTAATAGATACAGAAATATAGTAAAGGTACATAGGGACTGTAAAGGCTTGCAGGGGAAAACGCCAATATATCTATAGGAGGGATTAACAAATATTTCAGGGGAAAATGCTTTTATAAGATTTTTCCTGACTTGCAAGGGCTTCTCTCCCCCTCCTTTCCCTTTTCAAAACATTCCAGCCTGGGATGAGAAGCAGACCAAAAGCAGAAAAGAAAACACACTGTTTAGGAAGGGGAAGATGAGAGAGAAATATATCATATATTGCAAGCAAGGGGCTCCAGGCTCCACTGCTTGGCTTGATCCCATTATAAGATGAGGGAGGATTTTTCAGCCCCCAAAAAGGGTTGAAAACTCTGCTTATATTAGAGTATCGCTTCTCGGCCTTTTGGCTAAGATCAAGTATTAGAGTATATACGGTATATATATATCTCTTGTAGGCTATTGGATTAACCTCCAGTTTGCTAGTAAAACTGAATTACTGTGTTGCGAAATGATGCAGGTCTAAAAAGTATGTCACCAACATTAAATGTTTGGAAAGCTCTGCTCTACGGGTTTACTCTTTCTAAATCTATCCATGAGAATAATAACAATAATAATAATAATAATAATAATAATAATATTTGTACCCCGCCACCATCTCTCCAAAGGGGACTCGGTGTGGCTAACATGAGGCCAAGCCCAAAATTACAGTACAGCAAAATAAAATACAAAGAAACAAAAATAACATTGAAATAAAATACACAAAATAACAAAATGATGGCAGCCATCCTGTGGCAGGGTGTTCAGCAATGTAATCTGGGCCAGTGTGTTGCACCTCAGAATAGATTCACCTTGCTGAAATCACCAGAACTGCACACAGACTGAAGTCTTTGTAGTTTATTGAAAAGCGAAAGATGAAAAGTTTGAAAAGCAAATAGTGTTCCAAAGATCAATAAAACATAGCACTGAAAAGCAGAATTCCAAATGGCACCAACGAAACAAAGTCCCATGAGAACACGACAAAATCCCAAGACCATGGACACAGGAAAACAAGGACAAGCTGCTTGGTTGAGCGAGAAGTTGCTCTGACAAAGGTTTGTTTTCAAACACACTGCTTAATACCCTTTGCAATACATGAACACCTTTCTTTGGCCTCTGACCTCCTTCTTGTTGGCTATTCTCACACTCCTTCGAACTCTGAATTCCAAACGGTCAGCCCGATCTAAGATTCCCGTTTCATCAAGGTCAGGCTGCTTGTTAGTGTCAGCCTGGTTGCCTTCCTGCCTACTATCAGGCTGAGAACAGTCCTCCTTTTCTGAGTCAATTTGCACCTGGCTAGTTTCAGTATCAAAAACACCATTCCCTGCTGTGGGAAACTGAACTTGCACACCCTGTTCCTCACTGTCTACAACAGGAACATTTTGAACCTGATTGTGAACCTGAATCCCATCATCCTCATCAGAGTCACTCTGAGACCCCCTCTGAGTCACAACACTATCAGTCTGTGTCTGTGGTTCCAGCTGAGTCACAACACAGTGTTACCAGAATTTCCCCCTCAGTATCTTTCCACATTTTTGTTTCATGCATCAAGGGCCTCTCACCTGCATGTGTCCTTTCGTGCCCAATCAGCTGGGAGCTTCCAATGAATCGCTTCTCGCAGTGGGGGCATTCGTAGGGACTCTCGCCCATGTGAGTTCTCTGGTGTATGTGGATGGGCATTTTCACCTTAAAGGTCTTCCTGCAATCTGGACACGAATACAGCTTGTACTTGCTGTGAGTTGTCTGGTGCGCCACCAAACCTGCCTTCTGGTTGAAGCTCTTCCCACACTCTTGGCACATGAATGGCTTCTCCCCCGTGTGAATCCGCTGGTGCCGGGTTAAATTGCATTTTTTATGGAACTTCTTTCCACACTCGGTGCACAAATAGGGCTTTTCACCTGTGTGGACCTTCTGGTGAATGTAGAGCCCTGCCTGTTGACTGAACCGTCTTTCACATTTGGAGCATTGATAGGGTTTCTCTCCTGTGTGGGTCCTCTGGTGAAGGATAAGGTGGCTTCGCGTCGTGAAGCTTTTCCCGCACATGGGGCAGCTGTATGGTTTTTCCCCCGTGTGGGTCTTCATGTGTGTCATCAAGTTGCCTTTACTGGCAAACCTTTTCTCACACACTGTGCATAAATATTTCTTCTCTCCCATATGGACAACCTTGTGGTTACTCAGGGTCTGTTTATCAATGAACCTCTCCCCACATTCAGGGCACGGAAAGGGCCGCTCTCCTGTGTGGAGTCTCTTGTGTACTTTAAGGTATGCACGCCTCGTGAAACTTTTGCCACAATCAAGGCATTTGTAGGGCTTCTCCCCTGTGTGGATCTTCATGTGTGTCATCAGGTTGCCTTTACTGGTAAACCTTTTCTCGCACATAGTACATAAATATTTCTTCTCTCCCATATGGACAACCTTGTGGTTGCTCAGAGTGTGTTTGTCAATGAAACTTTCCCCACATTCAGGGCATGGAAAGGGCCGCTCTCCTGTGTGGAGTCTCCTGTGGACTTTAAGGTACGCACGGCTTGTGAAGCTTTTACCGCACTCGAGGCATTTGTAGGGCTTCTCTCCTGTGTGTGTTCTTATATGTGCAGTTAGATATACCTTCTGACTGAACCTTTTTTCACATAAAGAGCAGCTGAATCGCTTCTCTCTGGCGTGAGATTTTCTGTGCTCAAGGAGGAGGGATTTCTCACTGAAGCCTTCTCCACACTTGGAACATCCATATGGGCCTTCGCCCTCTTGACAGCGGTCATGGAAACTAACGTTAAGACCCTGAAAATAATTCTCTTCAGTCTCTTCCAGTGATGTTGCCCTGCCATTGTCCACCTGCTCAGATCTTTCTGGCTGACTGTTCTCATGTTCATTCTTCTCAACTCGTTCATTCCCTGTTAAGATTCAACAAAGAGGAAGAATTCAAGCCATACAGTCAAAAGTATATTCTGAACCCCACCAACAACACAACTGGGCCAAACTTCCCACACAAAACCCCCATGACCAATAGAAAATACTGTGTTTTCTGATCATCTTTGGCAACCCCCCTGACAACCCCTTGCAACCCACCCAGGGGTCCTGATCCCTAGGTTGAGAAATGTTGATATGGGGTACCTGCAAATCTCTCACATAGCAACTCAATGGGAAGCACATTGCACCTAGAATCATAGAATCAAAGAGTTGGAAGAGACCTCATGGGCCATCCAGTCCAACCCCCTGCCAAGAAGCAGGAATATTGCTTCTTTGGATAGTTTTCTGTGTGGAAAGGCCCAACATAATGTATGGACAGGGCACTAGGGTAGCAAGATACATATGGATAGGGCACTAGGGTAGCAAGATATATAAGAGCTAGAGCAAAGCTCACTAAAGGAATGTCCCACAGTCTCTGTGTGATTGATTTGAGAGCTATGTCAAAACCCAAATGAGTTAGAAGGAATGCGGAAAGGCCGATGGAGGAGTCTTATAGAATCAAAGAGTTGGAAGAGACCTCATGGGCCATCCAGTCCAACCCCCTGCCAGAAGCAGGAATATTGCACTCAAATCACCCCTGACAGATGGCCATCCAGCCTCTGTTTAAAAGCTTCCAAAGAAGGAGCCTCTACCACACTCCGGGGCAGAGAGTTCCACTGCTGAACGGCTCTCACAGTCAGGAAGTTCTTCCTCATGTTCAGATTGAATCTCCTTTCTTGTAGGTTGAACAAAAAGCTTTCTTAGAACTGATCTTAAACCAACTGCTTATGTAATCATCCTAAGCTAAGTGATGATATACATATTCTGGCTTTTTTATTCTTTTCAACTTGTATTGTTAATATGTTGTGAGTTGCCTTGAGTCCCATTAGAAGGAGAAAGGCGGGATATTAATGAATATTAAGAATAAATAAACCTGGATTAGTATAAAACTGCAACTTCTCCTGTTAATTTCTCAACAGACCAAAGCTTAGGAATAAATACAGAGGAATACAGATACTGATCTGAGTTTTGGCGAGGACTGTGATTTGAACCTTGGGATCCTAGCAGACCCACATGGCAACTCCTGGAAAATGTAAACAGATAGTCAGGGGATTTGGGGGAGTGTACTTCCATCAAAAGATCCCCCCCCCCCAGTTCAGGACTTATCCTTCACCAGAATACATCAAGAGCATCTCAAGGTGGTTCTCGGCAACAGAAAGGATGCCGCTCTGATCAAACTTCTAGGAAGCTACCTGCCAATCTTGCCCCTTCCTCCGCACACTTTTCCCTTGGCTCATTCTCTTCTTTCACCCGGGAGATGAGGTCAGGTCTGGAGATCAACAGGGTTGCTGTGAAAGCAAGAACAACAGCTGGTTATTGATGGGTTGCTCTTGCTGGTTGCAGTACGTTCCCCCTTCCAGACTCCCTGTAAATACCTGAAAGTATCCAATAGACTTTCACTGGTGGACCTAGAGAGGCCCACAAATGGAAGTGTTTGTGGGTCTTCCCAGTTCCTCCAGTGCTATTCTATGCTATACTTGGGTTGGAAGCATTCCATAGTGTCATGCTGAGGGACCAAGAGAGGCCCACAAATATTGACTGTAGAGCAGGCATGGGCAAACTTGAGCCCTCCCTCCAGGTGTTTTGGACTTATTTATTATTATTATTTGTATTTATTTCAGACTAGCTGTACCTGCCACATGTTCCTGTGGCCAACCTTCTCTTTCTCTCCTTCCTTCTGTCCCTCTTTTTCTTTCCCTTCTGCTTTTCCTTCTTTCTTCCTTCTCTACCTGTTTCTTTTCTCGCTTCCTTAGCTCTTTGATTCCACCCTTCCTTGTCTCTTTTCTTCCTTCCTTCCCTCCCTCTTTCTCTCTTTTGTTCCTTCTCTTCCTTCCCTCTTTCACTTTTTTTATTTCCTTCTCTCCTTCCTTCCTTCTTTAGCTTTCTTTCTTTCTCTCCTTCTTCTCCTCTTTCTCTCCCTCCTTTTCTCCTTCCTTCCTTCCCCCTTTATGTGTATGTGTTTTGTGTGTGCATATATGCGTGTATATATTTCTGCATATAATTGTGTATATATGTGGTTTTGTGCATGCGTTGAAATGTTGTTTTTTTTACTTTCAAAGTCTCTTCCACTGTGTTTTTCAGTGTTTTTATGAGTGATGGTCACTTGTTGGCCTGATAAGTGTATTGTATCCAGATTTGGTGTCAATTTGCCCAATGGTTATTGAGTTATGTTAATCCCACAAACAAACATTACATTTTTATTTATATAGATATTTGTACCCCACCCTTCTCAACCCCCGGGGAGGGGGACTCAGGTGGCTTCCAGCCGGCAGCAATTCAATACCTCCAATGTACACATAATAAAATACATAATAATATACAATAATTACATACATTTAAAACATTACATCACATTAATTAATTAAAATCAGCTGTTAGGAATTATGAGATTTGACGTCCAAAATACCCGAGGAGCCCAACTTTGACCATGCCTGGTGTAGATGCACCCAGAGGAAAAAGAGCACAGTTGTAAGTCTAGAGTAGGATCCTGCTCTTTCTCTCTCCACCTTCTCCTCTAAACTTATGGTCAAACAATGCTTACCCAGCGAGGACACAGTATGGTAATTTGCCACCATGACTTCCCAATACAGAGCCCTCTGGCTCAGATCCAGCAAAGCCCATTCATCCTCTGAGAACTTCACAGCCACTTCCTCGAAGGTAACCAGGCCCTGGAAGAGAAAAAAATGCATCATTTCATCACTGTTTATACCAAATGTGAAAAATTCTTCTCACTCTGCCACACTCAATAACTTTCTTAAACAGAATCATTTGAGTCCATACTGACCATACAATGCAGTTTCAGACTGCATGACATGGCAGGGTAGATGGGGCCTCAGAGGCACATTGGACAGCTCTTACCAATAAGAAGGTCTTCCTAATCTTTAGCTGGATTCTCAGTTTCATCACATTAGCTATTTCTGATAGCTCAGGTTTGACTTGCCCTTGGACACAATTATTTTGTCTATTTTTTTTCAGTCTATGATATCTGAAATTCTGAAATCCAAAATTTTTCCACTTGAGTGGTTCAGATAGTGATACCTTTGCTTTCTAATGAAGGAATACAAACAAATTTTTGCTACTTGCACAAAATTATTAATATTATTTAAACTTTTAATCTTTACAACCAACGCTGCCCATTGTGATAATTTTTTTTCTTTTTTGTGTTCAATGATTGCGATTTTATATTGTTTCTTGTATTTTATTTTTTTATTTATATTTTACTGTTGTATTCCTATGTTGTATATTTGTATTGATGTATTGTTGGGCTTGGCCTCATGTAAGCTGCCCGAGTCCCCTTGGGGAGATGGTGGCGGGGTATAAATAAATAATTATTATTATTAATTATTATTATTATTATTTGAAACACAACAGGATGAGTCCACAGCAGACACTCTGCTGGCAGTTGAATTGGATCACATGTTCGACACTTCCCAAGTGTCTAGGATTGTGTGATGTATCAGTGAATAATGCGTGCAGATCCCAGTAGGGTGGCCTTCTGCAGCAGGTGGATGCTTATTTTGTCAGCGCTGATTGTGTTTAAGTGCAGGCCAAGGTCTTTAGGCACTGAACCCAGTGTGCCGATCAACACTAGGAGCACCTTGACTGGCTTGTGCCAGAGTCTTTGCAGTTCAATCTTTAAATCTTCATATTGTGTCAGCTTTTTCAGTTGTTTCTCTGCAATCCTGCTGTCACTTATTATTATTATTATTATTATTATTATTATTATTATTATTATTATTATTATTATTATATAGAAGTGACTTCCAGGCTATGTGTCTGAGGTGTATATTAAACACTAATGAATTTTGTGTTTAGACTTGGATGCTATCTCCAAGAGACAGTATCTGGGATCCAACACAGGGATCCCAAAATCTGAAACCCCAAACAGTTCTGGTCAACAGTGTTGAAGATGAGGAAGATGCAACCTGTGTCATCTTTAGGGTAAGGGAGATTAACATGAATTATCTCCAAATATATGTTCTGACAGACCTTTTGTTACAAAATGTATTCTTAATAAACCCTTGCTCGTGTTTGCAAATATTACAGATTTAGCGAGGTATCTTGAAGATGGGTAAGATAAAAGTTTTCCCCTAACATGAAGTCCAGTTGTGTCCGACTCTGGGGGTTGGTGCTCATCTCAATTTCTAAGTCAAAGAGCCAGTGTTGTCCGTAGACACCTCCAAGGTCATGTGGCCAGCATGACTGCATGGTGCGCCATTACCTTCCCACCAGAGAGGTACCTATTGATTTACATTTGCATGTTTTTGAACTGCAAGCTGGGGCTAACAGCAGGAGTTCACGCCGCTCCCTGGATTTGAACCTGCGACCTTTCAGCAAGTTCAGCAGCTCAGCGGTTTAACCCACTGCACCATCAGGGGCTCCAAGTCTAAACAAATTCATTTATGTTTTGTATACACCTTGTACACAGAGCTGGAAAACACTTGTATACACAATATTTTCCATAATTTTCTGGACTGCAACCCTAGAGATGAGGATCTGAATTCACATTTGGCCATGGAAACCCATCAGGTGACCCCTGGTAAATCACACTCTCTCAGCTTCAGAAGAAATCTAGAAAACCCTACTGTAGAGTCGTCACGAGTCAGAAATTATTTCAAGACACACATTAACAACACCAAGGACTGGACAACATTATCTGGAATCCAGTGTTGAATTTTCTGTCTACAGGAAATAAATGTTTTGGTGCCTAGCTGAAGCCTCTTTAATGTTGACATTCTAAAATGCCATTTCATCCAATTTCTCTTGGCATTTCAGGTTGAGTATCCCTTAGCCAGAATTATGAAATCAAAAATTCTCCAAAATTGGAAATTGTCCGAACAGATTTCTTGTTTCCAGAGAATTGTGTGGACAAACTTGGTTTTGTGCAAAACTGCGACACAAAGATTGTCTAAAATTACATGTATGCAATATACGTATATAAGATGGATATGAAACAGAAATGAAGGCCATTATTTGGATAACATTGCATTACATTTCATGTCATATGCAACTTGTTGGATGCCTGTCACTCACCGCCTCTTCCTGCCTCCCGTCCTGTTGATCTTTGACTAAGAACGCTTCTGCCAGGATCTGCTCCTTCGTGTTCTGCCCTGGCTTCAGCCACTGAAGGCCACGCTCCCAGAGACGCCGGCAAACCTCTTGGGGATCCTTGGCCTCCTCGTAGGGGAAATGCCAGAAACACTGGCGTTCCGCATATGCATCTATATTGTCCTCATCCAGAGTCTTTGGCACCATTTCCCCCGAAAATCCCATCTCGCTCCCAACACTGATGGTTTGCAAGCTTTCTCTGCCTCTTTTTGCTGCAAAATCTTCCGCTTTCACCCTCCCTTCTGGCACCAAGGCAGACTCATAGCAGAGACCCGAGGCATCCGCTTTATCCGTCCTTGCCATGTTTTCACTTGGTCCAGAGAAAGGCTGCTCTGTCTGACTTCTCCAAATGGATCGCTAGTTGTGATTCATGGCTGCGGACAGTCAGAGCACTTGGTCTGGACAAAACGTCAGAAGCCAATCGAGATATCCCTGGTGAGAGATTTTTCTCCCCTGTGGATGAGATAAACTGAAGTTAATAAAAGAATCATAAAATTGGCAGACACACCAAAAGTGATCCAGTCTAATCCCAGTCTGCCAGGAAGGAAGACACAATCAAAGCACTCCTGACAGATGACCATCCAGTCACTGTGTAAGAGTCTCCAAATGAGTCTTCCCCATCCTGCAAGGCTGGACACAACTTCAAGGCAAAGGCACACCAACAACAATGCAAGAAGGTGTGAAGGGATTTGTATTGGGGGAAGAAAATGCCCCTCAACATCGAAAGGGTGACTCTTTTTCTCTCTCCTCATTTAATAGGGTTTTTTTTGTCGTGTCAGGAGTGGCTTGAGAAACTGCAAGTTGCTTCTGGTGTGAGAGAATTGGCCGTCTGCAATGACGTTGCCCAGGGGACGCCCAGATGTTTTTGATGTTTTATCATCCTTCTGGGAGGCTTCTCTCATGTCCCCGCATGAGGAGCTGGAGCTGATAGAGGGAGCTCATCTGCGCTCTCCTCGGATTCGAACCTGCGACCTGTCAGTCTTCAGTCCTGCCAGCACAGGGGTTTAACCCACTGCGCCACCGGGGGCTCCTTATTTAATAGTATTAATGTGACCAATTTCACAGCTTGCTGTCTCCAGGAACCGAGACTCCATTTCTTTTTTTAATAACAGTTAATGATGCATGGACACAAGCATTTGCCTGCATTGCGAAGTTGTTGTGTTCCTTTTCACTCAAATACCTGCCTTCCTCAACATGTGTCCAAAAATGATCGCTACCATTTCAATCTATAGAAGTCAAAATTTGTACATGTGTTCGGTTCACAAAGGTTCCTACATGGTTTGACAGGGTAGTTGGGGCTGATAGAGAATGATGAGAGTATTGTCGAATGCTTTCATGGCTGGAATCACTGGGTTGTTGGAGGTTTTTTCGGGCTATATGGCCATGTTCTAGAGGCATTCTCTCCTGACGTTTCGCCTGCATCTATGGCAAGCATCCTCAGAGGTAGTGAGGTCTGTTGGAACTAGGAAAGGGGTTTATATATCTGTGGAAAAGTCTACATAGGGAACACCAAACGCAGCATTGCCCAAACACGAATCAAGGAACATGAAAGGCACTGCAAACCACTTCAACCAGAGAAGTCAGCCATAGCAGAGCACCTGATGAACCAACCTGGACACAGCATTTTATTTGAGAACACAGAAATGCTGGACAACTCTCACAACCACCATGTCAGACTACACAGAGAAGTCATTGAAATCCACAAGCATGTGGACAATTTCAACAGAAAGGAGGAAACCATGAAAATGAACAAAATCTGGCTACCAGTATTTTAAAAAACTCTAAAATTACAACAGCAAAACAACAGAGAGGAAACAATCAGGGACATCTAATCACCTCTCAACAAAGATTGCCCCAGGCACTAACAAGCCACACCAAACAACTGCCAGGCCATCAAATGCTAATCAAGGTGGTCAGTTGAAACATTCACACTGGCTCCGACAGACAAGGGTTCCTTGTCCCACCCTGGTCATTCCACAGATATATAAACCCATTTTCCTACTTCCAACAGACCTCACTACCTCTTAGGATTCTTGCCATAGATGCAGGCAAAATGTCAGGAGAGAATGCCTCTAGAACATGGCCATATAGCCCAAAAAAACCCTACAACAACCCAGTTCCTACATGGTTTGACAGGGTAGTCGGGGCTGATAGAGGATGAGGGGAGTTGTAGTCCACCCACATCCAGGGAGCTGTCTGAATCCCACTGATGACAGTTCTGGACCAAATTTAGCACACATATTGAGCATGGCCAACTTAAAATACGGGTAGGGTTTGGGGGGTTGATAGGGCATGCTGGGAGTTCGTGTCCACCTACATCTGGAGAGCTACATGGAACTGGACCAAACTTGGGACATATACCCTTCATGATCCAACTTAAAATACTAGTGAGGTTAAAGGGGAATGAGAGAGGATTGTGGGAGTTAAAATCCAGCAACATCTGGAAATTTATGTGAGTCCCACCCATGATCTTAAGAAGGGTTCCTTTCTTCTTAAACGACCAGATGGTTCACCTGACTTGCCACCCTGCATCCCCCAATATCCTTATCCCTTCACTGCACCTTCAAGGATGATGAGAGTTGAACCACAACAAAAGCACTGATCCATCTGACCAATTAGATGCAACCCACCTACATAGATCTAGGGCTAATGGGAGTTCAACAACAGACCAATGTGTGGAACTCCCTCCCCAATGAGATTAAATCGGCCCTCTCCCTCCTAGAGTTCCGGGAAAACACTTAAAACTTGGTTATGCATGCAGGCATTTGGCGAGGGATAGTATTGCAGTATAACACCTAAATGAAGCAACTAAATGACGACAATGGGAATGGTGCAATGTTGATATCCTCTATGTCAGTGTTTCTCAACCTGGGGGTCGGGACACCTGGAGGGGGTGTCAGAGGGGTCACCAAAGACCATCAGAAAACACAGTATTTTCGGTTGGTTATGGGGGGTTCTGGGTGGGAAGTTTGGCCCAATTCTATTGTCGGTGGGTTTCAGAATGCTCTTTGATTGTAGGTGAACTATAAATCCCAGGAACTACAACTCCTAAATGTCAAATCTATTTTCCCCAAACTTCACCAGTGTTCACATTTGGGCATATTGAGTATCTGCACCAAAGTTTGGTCCAGATCCATCATTGTTTGAGACCACAATGCTCTCTGGATGTAAGTGAACTACAACTCCAAAACTCAAGGTCAATGCCCACCAAACCCTTCCAGTATTTTCTCTTGGTCATGGAGTTCTGTGTGCCGAGTTTGGTTCAATTCAATCATTGGTGGAATTCAGAATGCTCTTTGATTGTAGGTGAACTAAACATCCCAGCAACTACAACTCCCAAAAGTCAAATCTATCTTCCCCGAACTCCACCAGTGTTCACATTTGGCCATATTATTCGTGCCAAGTTTGGTCCAGATCCATCATTGTTCTCTGGATGCAGGTGAACTACAACTCCAAATGCCCACCAAACCCTTCCAGTATTTTCTCTTGCTCATGGAGTTCTGTGTGCTGAGTTTGGTTCAATTCCATCATTGGTGGAGCTCAGAATGCTCTTTGATTGTAGGTGAACTATAAATCCCAGAAACTACAACTCCCAAATGTCAAATCTGTTTTCCTCAAACTCCACCAGTGTTCACATTTGGGCATATTGAGTATCTGTGCCAAAGTTTGGTTCAGATCCATCATTGTTTGAGTCCATGGTGCTCTCTGGATGTAGGTGAACTACAACTCCAAAACTCAAGTTCAATGCCCACCAAACCCTTCCAGTATTTTCCCTTGGTCATCGAGTTCTGTGTGCAGAGTTTGGTTCAATTCCATCATTGGTGGAGTTCAGAATGCTCTTTGATTGTAGGTGATCTACAAATCCCAGAAACTACAACTCCCAAATGTCAAATCTGTTTTCCTCAAACTCCACCAGTGTTCACATTTGGGCATATTGAGTATCTGTGCCAAAGTTTGGTTCAGATCCATCATTGTTTGAGTCCATGGTGCTCTCTGGATGTAGGTGAACTACAACTCCAAAACTCAAGTTCAATGCCCACCAAACCCTTCCAGTATTTTCCCTTGGTCATCGAGTTCTGTGTGCAGAGTTTGGTTCAATTCCATCATTGGTGGAATTCAGAATGCTCTTTGATTGTAGGTGATCTACAAATCCCAGGAACTACAACTCCCAAACGTCAAATCTATTTTCCCCAAACTCCACCGGTGGTCACATTTGGCCATATTATTCGTGCCAAGTTTGGTCCAGATCCTTCATTGCTCTCTGGATGTAGGTGAACTACAACTCCAAAACTCAAGGTCAGTGCTCACCAAACCCTTCCAGTATTTTCTGTTGGTCATGGGAGTTCTGTGTGCCAAGTTTGGTTCAATTCCATCGTTGGTGGAGTTCAAACTGCTCTTTGATTATGGATAAACTATAAATCCCAGCAACTACAATCAAAAGTGGGGGGAGAGAAATGGGCCTGAGGCTGTTAGGAATTGTGGGAGTCCAAAACACCTTGACTGCCCAAGTTTGCCCATGGCCGGTCTACTTCCAACTGTCACGTCATCCCTCAACTGTCATCTTTTTCAACTGTGTTCTAAACAAGTACTTGAACTGGTCACATGGTCTGCAGCCCCTCCCACTGCCTCAAGAATATAGATATAAGGAAAACTACATACCAAAGAACACCCATACCCTTCAGTAACAAAATAACATAATGTGTTTGTTGTTTGAGAAGGTTGCCTATTTGCAACATAGTTTGAAAAGGTTTGCAACATAGAATGAATTGCAATTCGACACTTTTAACTGCCATGTCTCAATGCTTTGTAATCCTGGGATTCATAGTTTCTGTTGAAGTCCAAGAACTCGGGATGGCAGCGGTGAAAGACCATATAAAACTACAACTCCCTCTGTCCCAAGTAATTCAGAGAAGGGATGTTCAACCTCATGGCTTCCCCAGTGTTTTTGCCCCTTTCCATGTACTTTGACTCACCAGATCTCTCTCTCTCTGCAAGGGAATGCTGCAGAAAATTGCAAAGGCAGAGAAATGCAAATAGGAAAGTGGAATGGGGAGGGGAAGAGGAACCCTGGCCGGAAGTTACTTGTCATAACACATGGTCCTCCTCTTTCCTTGCAGGGCCCTTCTAGGAATACCAACCTCAGTAACATTAACCCTTTCAGGAAGGCAAGTGGCTGCATTACCTAGTGGTTGCTTTCTCCTGGGAGCTGTAGTTTCACAAGGTCTTTCACCTTCTCTGCCAAAGAGTGCTGCTGCCTGTCTATGATCCCCAGGATGCCATAGCATTGAGCCATGGCAGTTTAAATGCTGTGAAACTGCAGAAATACTACTGTGCAGATGGCACCCATTCTGTCATTG